TGTGGTAGGCACTCAGTGAATGTTACTGCTTATACCTGTGATTTTCTTTAGTTCTATTTATTCATTCACTTATTTTGTGGTGCTGAGGATCAAACCCAGGGTCTCATACATGTGAAGCAAGTAAGCTACATCTACAGCCCTACACTGAATTTTGACTTAAGTTTAGTGATAGCCAAAAATGCTCAAAAAATAAATAGCAAAAAAGAAAATGGAACCGTCTCTTGAATCCAAAGTAGACACATCTTTCTGCATAATACTGATGAACTATAAGGTGCATAGAATTGTCTAGAAAAATGAAAAGGGAGGCAGTTATCAAGTAAGGGGAATGATATGTGGAGAGGCCTCCTGGAGAAGGACCCCCAACAACAGAGTCTGCAGATCAAGGAACACTACGACAAACGCAGAAATGGGAAGGTTCACAGATGGAATRAGGCTATCCAGCTGTGTGTGTCCTTTTATGAAGGGACTGAGGCAGGCTTTTCCCAGCTGCATAACTTATTCTTCAGCCCCACACAAGTGCTTCTAAGAACTTTTCCACAATTTATCTTCTTGTATAGACTTCTTTTCCCCCTAGTACTGGAGATGATGGAGTACTAGGGATTGAATCCAGAAGCCCTCTATTGCTGTGTCACACTCCCAGACCTTTTTGTTTTTAGCCAGGGTCTCCCTAAGTTGCTCAGGGTCTCACTAAATTGCCCAGGCTGGTCGCAAACTTGTGATCCTTCTGCCTCAGCCTCCCTGCCCCTCCTCAGTTGCAGGGATTACAGGCATGTGTCGAACTCAGCTTACAGTACTAGGGGCTGAACCCACTGAACTACATTCCCAGCCCTTTTATTTAATTTTATTTTTTTGAGAGACGGGCTCAATAACTTGCCCAGGCTGGCCATGATCTCGGGATCCTCCTCCCTTAGCTTCCTGAGTAGCCAGGATTACAGGTGTGACTTAGACTTTTTTTTTTTTTAAGAGAGAGAGAGAGAATTTTTAATATTTTATTTTTTAGTTTTCAGCGGACACAACATCTTTGTTTGTATGTGGTGCTGAGGATCGAACCTGGGCCGTACGCATGCCAGTTGAGCATGCTACCGCTTGAGACACATCCCCAGCCCGTGACTTAGACTTTTAAAAAAGAACAGCTATGCCCCACACCCCTGGAGACTCTGAGACCAAGATGTGCCTMCAGCCACAGAGTACTCAGACAACAGAGAGGCGAAGGGAGTGCTAGGATGGGAATGGTGGGCTGCCTAGAAGAGGGAGGGGCACAAAGGGTCCCAGGGCCTCTAGACAGCACTACCCTACTGAGAAAACAGCCAGGCACCAAGTACTGCAGATCCCAAGCTGCTTATAGTTGAAGCAAAGACAATAGCAAGTGCACAGATTACCAACTGTGGTAACTTAGGTAAGCTTCCTGCTATGTGTACCTAATTATGCCACACAGCAGTGACCGTGTACATGATTAAATCTGATCATTAACTGTGTTTTATTCTCTGGGAGAATGTAGTCTATTTGAACAACAAGGTCTTACTTAAAAATACAAAAGGGGAATGGTGGTGAATGCCTGTGGACTTAGCTATTCAGGTTAAAGCAGGAGGATCACAAATTCAGGTTACTCTGGGCAACTTAGCAAAACCCTGCCTCAAAAAAATACAAGGGGCTAGAAGCTGGTGTTGTGGCCCCGCAGTAGCGTGCTTGTCTAGCACGTGTGAGGCCCTGGGTTCGATCCTCAGCACCACATAAAAATAAAAAACAAAATAAAGGTATTGTGTTCAACTACTTCTTAAAAAAATAAATGTTTAAAAAAAAATACAAGGGACTAGGATGTAGTTCAGTTGGTAGAACATTTGCCTTGCATGTGAGAGGCCCTGAGTTCAATCCTTAGTACCCCCCAAAAAAGGGAGAGGAGCTGGCTTCCACTGGTGCCCATTTTGGCATTTTCTTTTTCTGAGAAGCACTTTATTTGTGCCATTTACCCTCTTCAACCTCTTGTCTACTTGCCAGCCCCAAATTCTGTCTACCCAGCCCATAAGAGTCTAAACTTTGGCCCCAGGGGCCAGATCACAGCTATCTTCTCCACTGCTGTAGCTCCAAAACCTGAAAAATGCTAGGTTCTAATAAATACTTGAGTAAAATGAAAAAAATCCAAGTCAAAAAAAAGGAAAAAGTCTCATGCATATCATCAACACAGGTTTAAAACAACAGCAATGGGCCAGAGGAATAGTTCAGTGGTAGAGCACTTGCCTAGCATGCAGGAGGCCCTGGTTTTGATTCTCAGCACCATAAACAAAAAAACAATAGCAAAAAGTAATCTGCTCTCCACTACTAGTTAGCATGTTCAACCCTGGGTGGTACCACCAGGGCAGGCAGCCTGTGACCATGGCCCTGTGGCTGTTCACTTTCTCAAGGGAGTGGCCATGTCGTGTGTCACTAAGAGGCTACCTTGCAACAGTGGAAACAGAATTATCTTCAATCTCTGAAAAGATACATGTCCAAACTCAGTCTGGCCCAGTTCTATACTTGAATCCTTTTTTCTTTGCAAGAACCACTGGAATTCGTAGAAAATTGGGAGCTAAATTATAAATGTAGGGCCTTTTTTTTTTTTTTTTTTGCGTTGGTGGGGGTGGCGCACAATGGAGATTAACCTAGGGGTAATTTACCACTATTTACCACTGTGCTTTGTTCCCAGCCCTTATTATTTTTTCAGTCAGAGTCTTACTAAGTTGCATAAATCTCACTAAGTTGCAGAGACTGGCCTTGAACTTGCAATCCTCCTGTCTTAGCCTCCAGAGCTGCTGAGATTACAGGTGTGTGCTATGGCCCAGCTATACTTCAATCTCTCTTATCAACAAGAAGTTACCCCAAAACACACTTCAAAAACAAAAGAATAAATTCCACTCTGGAAAATACACCTTGAGAAATATTCATATAATCTGTATCAAAATAGTAACAGCCACACTCTTATGTTAGAAAACAAATCATATGGTCTAATGGCAAAGGCTTGGATGCTCAAAGGGCAATAAGTAAGCAAGGGAATGCTAGCACAGCCCTGACCAGCTGTCAAGTCAGGAACTAGTTGCATTCACCCAGGGAAAAGCATATATAAACTTATTTTTTAAAAATCCAAAACAATGACTAAAATTGTGTACAAACGTACAATATATAAACCAGTATAGAGGCACAAGTGTAATCCCAGCAACCCAGGAGGCTGAGGCAGGGAGCTGCCAGCCCCAGCAACTTAGAGAGGCCCTAGGCAACTTAGTGAAACCCTATGTTAAGATAAAAAACAAAAAGAACTGGGGATGTAGCTCAGTGGTAGAGTACCCTTGAGTTCAATTCCCAGGGCCACTAGGAAAAATATATATATATTAGGTAAGTATGCTGACAATAACAGGAAGGGAATTTGGAAAGTTATAAGAACTTTTTTCTTTTTGTTGGGCTTCTTAGCCAACTGGCTGCTGCTTTTATATAAAGTAACCAGATTTTCTTGGAAAGAATAAGGGAAATAGGGAGGAAAGGGAACAAAACTATAGGGAATGAAAGGGAAGTGAGCCCAGAAAAGAACTGTCCAAGCAAATCAGCTAAGGTCTGTCCTGCACTAACTAATCAACAGGAAGTCAACCCTGAACCTCCCTTTGATATTACCAATGGCAGAAAGGTCACTCTGCCCTCTTTCCCATTTCAGAAAATCATGATCCTCTGTAAAATTTACCTCCTCTACTCCATATTTATCTATATAATCCTAGCTATTTGCTTGGACAGCTAATTCTCATTCTAACACCTATTCTGACCAAAGCAGCAAGTTCCTGTTAGACCAGCCCAGCAGATGCAGAATACTCATATCAAAGCCTTTACTCCTGGTAAATTCCAATCTCAGGGCACTAGGGCTTCTGAAGCCACACATACATTGTTTGAAGAATCCTCCTTCCTGGAGTTACAAGTCCAGAAAATTTCACAAGGTCAAGTAGCTCAAGGCACAGCAGCTGGCAGAAATAATCTAAGGAGCATGTTATGATTCATTTCCCATCTAGAGATCCAAGAAGCACAATAATAAACACTTCTTTTTCTTTGCCCTGGAGAAACTGCAACTGAAGGAAGGGAACAGGTTGCTGAGCTCAGCCAGAACAGAAGAAAAGGGATGGCAGGGTGACCTGCTCMCTGGAGTTCTAGAACAATGCTGCCAAGCCTCTGATTCACAGGATACTGACAACAGTGACCAGCTGATGCTCATGACATGCACATTCAAAGGGAGGCTAAGTGGCTGCTTAGAGACTTCTGCTACTGGTTCCTTTCTTGTGGAACAGCTTACAGCAAAACATCAGGATTCATACCATCGCACTGGTGGGAGTCCCTTGTCTGCTTCCTAGAAGGGTGTCCACAGCTCAGAGTTCCTATAGAAAATTGGAACTCCTATACAAAACTGGCACCATATCACTACATGAGATGAATATCATCCTGTTTCCTCAGTTAAACTAGAAACTTCCTAAAAAACAGATCAAGATTTTCCTCAGGGGCTGGGGATGTGGCTCAAGCGGTAGCGCGCTCGCCTGGCATGCGTGCAGCCCGGGTTCGATCCTCAGCACCACATACCAACAAAGATGTTGTGTCCGCCGAAAACTAGAAAATAAATATTAAAAAATTCTCTCTTTAAAAAAAAAAAAAAAAAAAAAGATTTTTCTCAGACTCAAATTTATCAGGGTCCAACATCATGTCCAGCACCACAGGGAGCCTCCAACTTGAGTTATAACTGTTGCAATGCACAAACACAATGTCTAAAGAGACTAGCTAAATGAAAGTTTTATGTTGTAACAACAAATAACTTTTTGGTTTTGGTAGTGCTAGGGATTGAACCCAGGTATCCTGCATGCTAGGCAAGCACTCTAATCACTAAATTGCACCTCCAGGTTTTTTGTTTGTTTGTATGGTTTTTTTTTTTTTGGTAGTTTTATTTAAGCACACACACATAAAAAAAAATGCACATGAATTGTCTATTCATTTTCTTCACTGTGCAAAATATAAAATGYTTCATGAATGTGTCATCCTTGTGCAGGGGCCATGCTAATCTTCTCTGTATTTCTCCAATTTTTTAGTATATGTCCTGCTGAAGCAAGCACCTTCCAGTCTTTCTTACTTCATTTTGAGGTAGGGTCTCCCTAAGTTGTGAAGCTGGCCTCTAACTTTTTGATTCTACTGAGTAGCAGCTGTGTGCCACTGCACCCAGCTTATATTATTTCTTTATGGTAAAATCAAAAACTCACTTTTAATTTTTTTAATAATTTTGAAATACACATTAAACTATAGTCACCTTGTTGTGCAACAGATCCCCAGACTTAATCTTCCTAACCAAAATTTCTACTCTTTGACCAAATTTTGTCAGTTCTTTTTTTTTTGTGTGTGGGGGTGGGGTGGGGGGTAGGGTTACCAGAGATTGAATACAGAGGCACATGCCCACTGAACCACATCCATAGCCCTATTTTGTATTTTATTCAGAGACAGGATCCCACTGAGTTGCTTAGCACCTCACTTTTGCTGGGGCTGGCTTTGAACTCGTGATCCTCCTGCCTTGGCCTCCTGGGCCACTGGGATTACAGGCGTGCGCCACCTCATCCGGCAACGTTTTGTCTATCTTTTTCCATCTCCCCACCTGGTGACCACCTTTCTTCTCTTTACTTCTATGAGTCTGACTTGTTTTTTACAATTCAGGTGTAAGTGGGATCAGGAAGTTGTTTTGTGGCTTGCTAATTTCATTTAGCATTATGTCCTCTATAGATTCATCCATGTTGCTGTAAATGACAAAATATTATTCTTTTTTAAAGCTGAATAGAACTGCCTGGTGCATGCACCTCCCATTTTATTTTTATTCATTTATCAGCTGATGGATACTTAAGTTGTTTCCAAATCTTGGTTGTTATGAATAATGTTGCAATAAACCCCCGGAATGCAGGTATTTCTTTGACATAATATTTTTCATTTCTTTTAGATATATACCAAGTAATGGGACTGCTGGATCATATGGTTATTCTATTTTTAGTTTTGGAGGAACTTTCATACTGTTTTCCAAAATGGCTATACCTATTTGTATTCCTACCAGGTGTTCCCTTTTCTCCACATTGTCACCAGCACTTGTCTTTTAGTCAGATTCTAACAAGTGTGAGATGATATCTCATTATAGTTTTAATCTGCATTTCCCTGATGATTGGTGATGTTGAACATTTCTTCATATATCTGGCAGCCATTTGTACATATTTTTGAAAAATGTTTGTCTGGGTCTTTTACCCCCACTCCTTTATTTTTTGGTACTGGGATTGAATCCAGGAATATTTTTATCACTGAACTACATCCCAGTTGTTTTTGAGACAGGGTCTCACTAATTGTCGAAGCTGGTCTTGAACTTTGGATCCTTTTGCCCTCAGCTTCCCTAGTCACTAGGATTAGAAGTGTGCACCACCATGCCTAACCTTATCCATTTTTACATGTGGGTATTTGTTCTCTTGTTATGGAGGAGTCTGAGTTTGGTATATACTTTGGATATTATCCTCTGATGTATGATTTGCAAGTATTTGCTACCAAATCTGTGAGCTGTCACTTCATGCTGCTGTTTCCTTTGCTGTACAGAAGCTTTATTTGATGCAGTGGGGAAGGGGTCCTGAATTTTCTAACTATTGACTTGTTTATATTTTGCATTGTCTCTATGCTAGCCAAGGCCATTTTCACCCCTTTGGGCCCAGCTAGGGTCTCATTATAGATCTTGCCCTCCCCCAGCTCTTTTTTTCCCCCCTTATAAATTTATTTATTTATTTGTTTGTTTGTTTATTTATTTATTTATTTTGATTAGTTGCTCAAGACAATTCCCCCAGCTCTCTTGACATCAGGTCTGGCCCCTAATTCCTCAGCACCTTTCTGACCCCTCCACATGGCCCAGTTGCACTTCCTCTGACCCACTGCCCAGTGAGGCTGCTCCTTACCTGTATGCCTRTGACGGAATGCACTCCATCAGGCCCTGGTTCCTACTCTCAGCCAGCTTTGGAGGAAATGAGGCCTCCAATCATTTTAGTTTCTCTGGTCATTGGTACAGCTTCCTTCCCACAGCCCAAAACTGACTGGTCTTTAAAATCCAAGATTAAATTAAACTGGGCTGGGGATGTGGCTCAAGCGGTAGCGCGCTCACCTGGCATGCGTGCGGCCCAGGTTCGATTCTCAGCACCACATACAAACAAAGATGTTGTGTCCGCCGAAAACTAAAAAATAAATATTAAAAAAATTCTCACTCTGTCTCTCAATTCTCTCTCTCTCTCACTCTCTCTTTAAAAAAAAAAAAAAAAGATTAAATTAAACTCAAGACAAGGGATAGTTCTGTATACCATCTAGCAAATGGATGTACAGAGGAGATTGTGACCTGTTTTCTGCTCTAGGTAAACAAACACCAGGCAGGCCCTGCCCTGTCTCAGACCTCAAGCAAGCTGGAATATCTGGAGTGGAAGGGAAAAGCTCACTATCACTATCACTTTATTGGATTAATTTCTGGGTTCCCACTTACTCCTAATTATTGCTAGAAACCCAACTTGCCTTCAGAAATGGGAAGGCAGCTTGGCCCTGCAAAAATAACATGGTCTTTAGAGCTAAAAAATTTGGGTTTGAGCCAGGCACAGTGATGCATGCCTGTAATCCCAGCAGCTCAGAGGCTGAAAAAGGAGGCTCTCAGCCCAGCCTCAGCAACCTAGCAAGGCCCTAAGCAACTCAGTGAGACCCTGTATCAAAATTTAAAAAGGCTGAGGATGTGGCTCAGTGGTAAACTGCCCCTGGATTAAATCCCTAGTAATCCCCCTTCCCCCTAAAAAGAAAGAAAAATGTGTGCTTGCCATCTGAAGTCCTAATATTAAGTAGCTCCTGAGAGTACATGTGAGAGTATATAAATCATAACCTCCTGAAACCTGAGTTTCCTCATCCATAAAACTAGTAATAAAACTCTTCACTTTACCTTCTCAAGGATACAGAAGGACTAAGTAAACTAATGGGCATTACAGTGTTTCAAGAATGCAATGCTGCCTCAAATGTAGCTCTCTTACTGAAAAAGTCACTGGTGAGAACAAGTAGCTGGGTGACTATGAAATGCTGAGGAAGAATTAGAAATTTAGAGAATTTAGATAATTCTAGGCAGGTCATACCAGATGAGCCAGTTGACCACTACAGGCTAAAATACCCACACTACAGGTGCTACTCAAAGCTGGCTGAGAGCAGGATGTTGGGAGCAGTAGACAGGCCTGAATCAGCTCTAATGCAAACAAGTCTTGATAGATAACAGGGGCTCTCAAAACTACATCATCTAGGTCAAAAGCTGCTGAGTTTCTAAACTAAATGGCCTGAAGACTCCTCTGAACTCTGGTACCACCACTCCTCAGGAAATCTTATACACAAGCCTCACCCCTTTCTTTTCAATCACTGTAGGAATTCAATCCCACAATTCATTCAACCAATGACTATTTTTTTAAATATTTATTTTTTAGTTATAGTTGGACACAATACATTTATTTCACTTATTTATTTTTATGTGGTGTTGAGGATCAAACCCAGGGTCTCACATGTGAGGCGAGTGCTCTACCGCTGAGCCACAATCCCAGCCTCTCACCAATGACTATTAATGTCTTAATGAAGAAGAAGATCAGACAGGAAATCCTGGGAAAGTGGGGACTGCAGGGACCAAAAAACACTGGAATCAGATTTACTAAATATACACTTGCAAATGTGAGCAAAAAGCAAGGATGAAGCAAAATAACCGTCAGACTAGGGATGCAGCTAAGTTGTAGAGCACTTTCCTCAGGCCCTGGGTTGGATGGATCCCTAGCACTTTTTTTTTTTTAAGTTGTAGTTGGACACAATACCTTTATTTTATTTATTTATTTTTTTAATGTGGTGCTGAAGATTGAACCCAGGGCCTCGCACATGCTAGGCAAGCACTCTACCACTGAGCCACAACCCCAGCACTCCCTAGCACTTCTTACAAAACATAAAAACTGCCAATCAGTCTAAAGTCAACAACCTCAAAAAAACTGACATCAGGGCTGGGGCTGTAGCTCAGTGAAAGAGCGCCTGCCTGGCATGCATGAGGAACTGGGTTCAATCCTCAGCACCACATAAAAATAATCAAGATAAAGGCATTCTGTCCATCTATAACAACAAAAACAAACAAACAAACTAACATCAGTTCAGGAAGTCCAAGACTGCCCCTGCAGGCATTTTCTAAATTGGGGGTGGGTAGGTATGTTCATCTTGAGCATGTCCAAATATAATTGAGCAAGCAGTCAGAGCAGACACTAAAGACAAGATGTGAAACTGAAAACACCCAGCACAACAACAAAGAGAGAGAGAGAGAGAGAGAGAGAGAGCGAGCGAGCGCGCGCGAGCCTTCTTACTACAAATGAAATAAAATAAATACAAGATTCACCCCTGTGTGCAAGGAATGGGTCTTGGAACTAAAAAGACAAAGACATTTTAGTCTCATAAGAGGTATAAGGCTGAGAACAGTGGCACATGCCTGTGGTTCAAGCTACCCAGGAGGCTGAGACAAGAGGATTGTAACTTTGAGGCCAGCCTGGGCAACTTCGCAAGACCCTGTATCAAAATATCAAAATTATAAACAATTAAACAAATGAAAAGGAATTAAAATAATCAAAATGAAAATATAAAAAGGACTGGGGATATAGCTCAGTGATGGAGTGTCCCCACTTGCAATCCCCAGACCTGCAATGGGGGAAAATGCTTCTGCTGAGTTTTCTCTTTTTTTTTTTTTTTTTTTTTTTTTTGAGAGAGAGAGAGAGAGAGAGAGAGAGAGAG